AGTTGGGAGTCAGATATTGGGGTAAGAACCAGGATGATCAGTGAAGTAGTGGAGAAGCCACCAGTGACCTCCTATCTCTTCTGTTCCTCAATCCAAAAGGCTGAGATCCTCTCTAAGTCCTGCCTCTCTACCCGTTCTCAGTCCTCCAAAACCTTTATGGTTAATTTTGGTCAGCTAAGGGCTAGTTCCACTCCCTGATTCAAAACAAACTTTATTGTCAGAATGCAACCAAACTATCAGACAACCCTTTTTTTTTTTTTTTTTGGTTTTTCTTTTGGTTTTTTGGTTGGTTGGTTGGTTGGTTGGTTTTGCTTTATTTTTTATTTTTCGAGACAGGGTTTCTTCGTAGCTTTTGGTTCCTGTCCTGGAACTAACTCTTGTAGACCAGGCTGCCCTCGAACTCACAGAGATCTGCCTGCCTCTGTCTCCCGAGTGCTGGGATTAAAGGCGTGCGCCATCACCGCCCAGCTGGTTTTGGTTTTTTGAAACTCTGCTAGATTCCATATATCCTGAGGAATCCTTTTACAAAATGTCACTCAATTGTCGTTCCACCTAACATTACATGTGGAGTTCAGGGGTAAAGTGGTCCTTCAGCCGTAGGTCCCTACTGAGTCTTCCATCTCCCCCGCCTTCCTCCACATGGCTCTTGGCAGTGGATGCTCTTTCACGGAGATGAGCATTAGAGCAGCAGAGCAGAGCTGCTATTTGCCATTCTCCAGTGAAGGCCAAGGAACTAAACAAGTTACGTGTTCTTGATAATGTGTAGAATGTCCAGTCTAGTCGCTTGGTCACACAAGAGGAAAGAGTGCACAGCAGATGGGGACAGAAAGAGTCAGCTGGGTCTCTACCCATGGGAACACTTCGAGAAGAGGTGCTCCTTGTTCTAGAACCTGAAGAGTCACACCTATCCTCATAATCATCCTCTAGGGAGATGGATTGCTTCATCACAATTGTCACCCATAGTTGGAGACGAAGATGAGAGCAGAGGGTCCTCTGCGGTGCAGAAGGGGAAGGAGTACTGGCAAGCTCCAGCAGACGATGGTGGAGTTACTGGGTAATGAACCGACATATCGGTCCCTCAGTGGTATTGCTGTGACAGAATCGTGGTAAAATTGATGGGCAAAAAGGTTTCCTCTGGCTTCTCGCCTAAGTATTTCTCTACATCAGCAGATGCAAGCCACTGAGAGGAACAGTACTGCAGGCCAAGGAAGTAGAGGTGACATTACTGGAGTCTACAGAAATCTATGGTGTCAAGGACTCACCCATCACCTGTATGAAAAGACGGGGTAAGGAACTCAGAGGGCCTTTGGGGGCAGCACGAGGGTCTCCGGTTCTGCACTGTATTCTGGACAGAGGAGTCAACCTCAGGGCACTCACCAGGTCGCCTAGTAATGGGTCCTGTGGCCATTCAGAATGAGTCTAAACACTGTGGGCTTCTGGTCAGTGTTAGATTTAATGTTTTAAGCTGGGGTCCCTTAGCTTTCAAGTTGAAGGGCAGAGAAACCATCCAGCGGTGCTCTCATCAAGAGGTGGCCCTGCTCTGTGTGGTACTTTGGGGCTATGGGGGCATGCTAAGGACTACCCATCACTCTCTCCTGCAGGGCATACCTCACCCATTGATGCTGCCTTATTGAAGTAATGCACACAAAAAAGTCACACACCATTGTACTTATTAAGCCAATTAAGAGTCTAATAAGGATGCTGGGTGGTGGTGACATATGCCTTTAATCCCAGCACTCAAGAGGCAGAGGCAGGTGGATTTCTGTTTGTTCAATGCCAGTCTGTTTTAACAAAGTGAGTTCATGACAGCCAAAGCTGTTACACAGAGAAACCTTGTCTCAAAAAAAAGAGAGAAGAAAATAATAAGAAAAAAATGTATAAGGAGCCCTTTATTTTTGTCTAGCAACCAAAATCAGGCTAATGCCTCAGAAAGACTTTTGGTACAGAAGCTCAGGGATACAGAGGTTTTAAAGGCCAAAGACCACACAGACCATAATTAACATCAATCTTAGATGAGGATCAGGGTAACTTTGCAACATTTGCTTTGGTAGAATATAGTATTTATATCAGATATCATAGTATTTATATTTAGTTATTTTAGTTTATGTTTAGTTTATACAAACATTAATTATTTGGGTTATTCATCTCCTATAGACAGACGTTTCTGTCCCGCCCAGTCCTGCAGTCATTCAGTCCCAAAGAAACACACAAAGGCTTATATTAATTATAAGATGTTTGGACTATTAGTTCAGGCTTATTATTAACTAGCTCTTAAAACTTAAATTATCCATAATTCTTATCTTTGTTTAGCCATGTGGCTTGGTACCTTTCCTCAGTAAGGCATTCTCATCTTGCTTCCTCTGGGTCTGGCTGATGACTATGTCTCTGCCTTTCCTCTTCCCAGAATTCTCCTAGTCTGATCGCCCTGCCTATACTTCTTGCCTAGCTCCTGGTCAGTCAGCCTTTTATTAAACCAATATGAGTGACAAATCTTTACAGTGTCCAAGAGCATTATCGCTCAGCAAGTACCACAATCAGAGTCATGGAAAATCCCAAATGTGTTGCCAAGACTGACATGTCTGCTTGGGATGGGGGTGGAATAGAGTGTTGAGACATGTCCAGTCACAAAAACAGAACCAGGACAAGATGGTGTTACCTTTGTCACTTTGTTTCCCCATTTATTTTATTTACTTTCAAACTGGCTAAAGGGTAAATATTGGGTCCTGAGGATAAGTAGCTTAGTTGAGTCAATCTTTGTCTTATAATTTTTAAAAAGCAATTTATTAAACTGGGCCCCACAGCAAGTCCTACACAAAGGAAGACTATAGGGCCAGCGAGAACAGTGAGGAGGGTTGAGTCATGGGTTCCAATCAATCTAGAGTACCAGGAGTTATTTGACTCTTACACCTTTTGTCTTCTATCTAGGTTATCTCTAATCTTTTGTGGAGTCTCCTACATAAGTCCTGATTTGTTAGCATAGAAGCAACAAGCTTCACATAGATCCCACACCACCTCCATCTCTTGGCATAAAGATCAAGTCTAAACCTTCCTAGTTTAGGTTTTAATTTTGTTTTTTATTTTGTTTTGTTTTTCCAGTCAAGGTCTCTCTGTGTAGCCCTAGCTGTCCTAGAACACACTATGTAGACCAAGCTGGCTTCAACCTGCCTTTGCCTCCCAAGTGCTGGGATTAAAGGCATATGCCACCCCTTAGTTCTTGCTGGTTGGGAAGACTACTTCTGCCGAGGACGCTACTTGGGCATGAAGTGTGTATCAACGGAAAACCAAGAGATGTCTAATGTCTATATCCATCTGTTTTAGGCCCTCTTCTCCTCTGATTAGGGCCAGAGTATGTAAGGCAGAGGTTCTTGCCACCTCCATCCTTACCAATACTGAGAAGAAGAATGGGGTGGCCCTCCTATGCCTCCAATCGGGTTGCCTGAAAGGGAACAAAAAACTGGTCCCTTCTAATCCAAAATGAATAATGATGGTTTCTGGATGCAGACAGGCAGAGCAGTTGGAAATTGCAGCTGCAGGGTTCTTTGTTTCCTGACAGAGTAAGAAGGTCAGGCCTTTAAACAGATGCAGCAATATTGAGCCATTTCAGATTGGATGTAATTTAGTGGTCAGACACTGCAGGAATCCAAGTAGGGGTGGAGTTAGTTACCATAGTCCCAGGAGTTGCTAAACATGGGTCTGCAGTTGCAGAGGATTTAGGCTCCTGATAGACAGGGAAGGTGGGAAGGCAACTAGAGACTTATCCAATTGAGATATCTAACCAAGAGGGCATAGAAGATAAGGTATTGTGTGCTCTGTAAGGTAAGACAACATCCCTTGGCCATTTGCCCTCTGTAGGAGGGTCTCCACATTGTGAGGGACTGTCACTGGCAGACCCTAGCCTAAAGTGAGCTTTTCAGCTTCCCTTACTAGTGCAGTGATTTCAGCTATGGTTTTCAAATAGAATGGTCAATCTAAAGCCACCAGATCCAAACACTTAGACAGATGTGCTATGAGCCTCCATCAAGGTCCCAGGATCTGAGCTGACACCCTTTGTGAGCCCTTGAGTCTCATGAATGAAAAGGTGAGACAGTTTGGAGACATCTCATATAATGAACCCTGGGGTTAGGGCTAGGCTATGCTTTATTTATTAAAAACACAGCTCCTCTGCCTGTCTCTGTCCAGTTTAAAGACTTTAAATTTGCCTGTGACAGAACAAAGAGGTTGGGGTATTTGGACAGACTCTGGAATCCAGAGTTGGATCCTGCTGACTCCAGAAATTCCAAACCTGCTACTTAGCTTGGGGTTTGGAAACTAGATGGTGGCTTCCTTCTGGGTGGCACTGAGAGTTTATCTGCCTTGCACGAGCTTGTACCCCAGATAAGAAACTTCTGGTGAAGCTGGGCATTCTTCACAGAGATTCAGTAGCCTAATGTCTAGAGCAACTGGAGCAAGTTTCTCTCAAACAGGTGGTTGTGTTGGTCACTACCAGAAAGGAATCTTCTGCATACTGGAGAGAGTGGAGTCAGGGTGGGACACTCTGCACCCTATCAAGTCTTTCTGAAACATTTCCCCTAAGGAACATACAGGAAGTTTTAAACCTTTGGGGTAGTTGCATCCGGTTAGCTGACTTATCTCACAGGACATTGGATATGTTCAAATGCAAATATGGGCTAGTTCACCAGCACCAGGAAAATGGAAAACAAAATATCCTTAATGTCCAGACCCATAGAGACCTGGTGATCTGGTGGGAGGAGACTAAGCAAAGTTTATGGGTTTGGAATAGTAGGGTGAATGGTCTCAGTCTGTTTACTAACCTCCCAGAGATCCTGGACTGGGAGGTCCCAGCTTAAGGACCAGGAAAGGCATATTTCAGGTTGACTGGCACAGGGAAGGATGTTTGTTTCCAACAACCTCCTGATATGAGGAGCAGTTCCTGGTCTAGCCTTTTGGTTCATGAAGTATTGCAGGATGCTTACGGGTGTAATTGTAGTCAAAAGACTTACCACAAAGTGTGGGTGGTGTGCCACCAAGCCCAGAGGATTTGTCTCAGTCCATACCATAGGAAACTGTCATTGCAGGTTCCAGAGCAGGCTTCCAGGATCTGTGTTTGCCTCTGCTGCAGAGTCTAGAAGGAGTAGGAGATATTCTTCAGACAGAGGGGCAGTTAAGCTGGTACGTAGGTGCAAAGGAAATTCTAGTCTCCTGGAGAGTAAAGGTGATGGTTCTACTTAGTTTTTTTAAAATCTCAGGCTGGAGAGATGGCTCAGAGGTTATGAGCACTGACTGCTCTTCCAGAGATCCTGGGTTCAATTCCCAGCAACCACATGGTGGCTCACAGCCATCTGTAATGAGATCTGGTGCCCTCTTCAGCATGCAAGCATACATGGAAGAAATGTTGTATACATAATAAATTTTTTAAAAAAATCTCTACCCAGAAGGGGAAAGGGACCACCTGGGACCACTACAAAGAAGTGTCTCTTGTTTGTGGCCCAAGATAAGTGTCCTTTCACGTGTAAGGTGGTAGCTCCTAACTGTGCCAGTGGTTCCCTGAACCACCTTCTTTTTACTTGTAAATGGCCGCATCAGAGTTCTTAAAAACAGAAGCCTCTGCCCCGGGAATCTACCAAGAAGTTAACTGGAGAACCACCTACTGATGTTTCAACCAACGGCTCTGGAGGCCTAAGAGAACAGAGCCCTGGTTCCCTCATTCTGAGTTGTTGTCCAGCTCCCATGTGGTCAGGAAGGTCAGTGCTTTCTTGGGTTTGGCATGGCTCGGACATTGATTCCTCCAGTGTCCCTTTTCCTTACTACAGGTGCATGAATCCCTTTCCAGGGCAGGGTTCCCCATTTTCCCCACTTTTTGTTTTTGGGTGGGTCTCTTCTCTAGGTAAGAGCAGTTAGGGGCTCAGGGTGAGCTGACTGGAATGCAGCCATCATAATTTTTTTCTGTCTATGTGTGACTTGATCAGTGGTCATGGCTACTTGTTTTTGTTTCTCAGTATCTCAGGTACAGAAAACCCTTTGGGAGCTAGGAGGTATTCATTTCAACTACACCCTCTAGCATTTGTAGCCTTCCGCAGGTATCAGGAGCAGACTGAGTTACAAAAGCCAAATTTAATACCATGTGGTTCTCTAGAGTCATTGGGTGCAAAGTCATGTTAATTTGAAAGCCTTCCTGTAATCACTGGAGAAACACCCCCAGGAGATTCCCCCAGTCCACGGAGAATCTCAGTTGTCTTAGACAAATTAGTGGGTGTTCGATCTAAACCCCAAATTCCAGACATAAGATAGCAGCTCTCAAGTCTTGAGAGCTGGTGGACATATTGTAAGTGTTGCAGCTCGGATGGAAAGATATCCCTGGCAGTCAGGAGCCAAGCAATACCACAAAGTCACTGTAAGCATTACAGCTCTGTGCCTATGGAAGAGTTACAGCTCTATGCTGCCCTGGTAAAAGGCGTTACAGCTGATGCTCCAGCGAGAGTGTCCCACACAACAAACTTCACTCAAGAGATTTATTGGGAGGGAACAATCCAGGAGGGGGGCTGCCTCTGCTATCATGAGAAGCAGCAGAAAACTGAACAGAATACAGGGCTTATATGGGGAGGGGAGGTGGCAGAGTTTCCCAGGGTGGCTTGAGATTGGTGAATGTGGTCTGTTTCTGGGGCAAGCTCAGGGATTGGTGGTATTCTTTGCCTTGTACCTGGTCTTGGGGTCAAGTTGGGGCCAGGTTGTTCTTTTCCTAGCCATTTTACCCTACACATATTAGGGTCCCAATCAGGGCATTTGGATGAGGAGGCTTCTTCAAAACTGTGCATCCTCTCAGCTCCCATTAGTACCAGCAGCCAAGGACAAAAGGCCTTCTTTGCCTCTGCTCCTTGTTTGAGGTCCACTGATGTCAACAGAGTCAATCACCCCAGGTGAGGTAGTAGGAGTAGAAGACAAATTCTAGGAGAAAAGTCGGGGCTTGGGATTTTTTTCAGAGAAAGAGGGGTTGGGGGTTTTGCAGTTATGTAGATCTGAAGTAAAAAGGAGACAGATTAGGAAGGATCATTGCCTCCCTCTGAGTCCCCTCTCTCCTTGAATTTTCCTCTGACTCAGGAAGGGGAGCGCTTCTCCCAATGGAAAGACAGAGTCTGGGTCTAAGGCTTCTGGAGCACAAAGGGACTTCAAGCAGAAGGCCACTGGGGATGAAGGGGAGGAAATGGATGTCTTCATCAGAAGGGATCGTGATGGTCTTAGAGAAGAGGTGGAGGAGGAAGGGAGTGGAGGTACAAGAAAGGAAGTGGGGAAGAGGATAGAGGCCATAGCAAAAATAGAAATTAACAAATTGGGGGGGGGGGTAAAATACAACAATAGGATCTGGTGATTAGATGGTGAGAACCAATAGCTGGTTATATTGATTCTGGCAGATGCGAATGATGCACTGACAGGAAATGCGCCCACTGAGGTGGGGCTGTTTAGCCATATTAAATTGGAAGTGGGTAGGCTAATTCCACAACTGAAGTGGCTTAACCATGGTCCCTTGAGAAACCAACTTTTTTTTTTTAATAAATGCTTAGCTTTTTTTTTTTTTTTCTTGCAAAGAACTTACTGCTCAAGTGTGTGGAAACTGGCGCAATATTTTGAATTCTGCTCATATGAGTTTAGGATTGCAAATTGTCTCTGGATACAAGACCATGGGAATGAATGAGTGTACAACCAGAATCCTGATCTAAAACTACAGCTTTCATATAGTTTGAAGACAAAAGATGAGTTTGCGGAAGGCAAAACCATGGTTAAAAGCCACATACTCATGCCTACAGAAAAGAAATTTGGGCTGAAGCTGCACAGAGGTAACTGTGCAGACAAGGTGCATAGAAAGCCACCGAGCCCGCGTCTCCCAGGTCCCACTTTCGGGTAACTGTGGAAGCTAACCGCAGACGATGCACCCTTTTCTCTCGCGAGAGAGAGGAATCCCGCCTTACCGCTGAGCCACGCGTGGTCCCACCTGTCAAGAAACAAGGGGTCTGACTGCGCGCCGGAGCTTCTGGGAGTCGTAGTTTCTGGCCTTGCCCCCGCAGAATGTCACGCATGCGCGACTCGGAGCTAACCCGAGAAGTTCGTAGCCTTTTGTCAGGCCCGGGGTGGGAGGTGAGTTACCTGATGGGGTGCTAAGGTCCTCCGTTTGCCTCGGTGGTGGTCCAGTGGTGGTTCCACGCCAGATGGAACTAGACTTCATAGTTCTTGAGCTTTGTCCCCTCCCCGCCCCACGCGCCTCCGAGATCGCTCCCTACAGATCCCGGGTGCAGACAGGAGCAGCAGGAGCAGCGGGAGGTGCTGGGCACGAGGCGCGGTTGTCTGTACCCTGTGCTTGCTCAGGTGCTTGGTCCCCTAAGAACAGCCCCAGACGCCAGGGACAGGCATGCGAGGACCCTGTTCAGGGTGCTTTCCCTGGTTTCCAGATCCCAACGTAATCCGAGTGACGCCTTCCGCAGAGCCCTCAGAGGGAAGAAGCTCTTCGAGGCTCCGTTGATGCCGAATTGTGCGAACCGGAGACGAGTGGAAGCTTGGGGACATTGAAGAGGTGGTGATTGTGGAGATGGATTTGGTTGAAGTGCCCCAGAAAAGAGGTAAAGTTGCTCATGGGTTGGTTCTGCACAGTGGAAACAAGAAAGTTGAATTCTTCCCTTTGAAGGGAGAGCCAACCTTTGCCTCCAGTTAGGTGGCGACTTGTCAACTGTCTTGAGGATTAGTGGGCTCTGAGAAGCTGCAGCAGTTGGTGTGAGGGTCAGTCCCCATCCACTTAATGGGTGCACAATGGAATGCACTGGGGACAGTGGGGACATTATCGAACTTTAGGCACAAGTTCTTTGAAATTATTGTCCCATCCTGGTTTCCATCATGGAGACAAAAATTCAGCTTTGTAATTGACAAAAATATTTTCCACACCCATTATCCCACTTTATCCACACAGTTAACCGTACGGTCTCACAGATAACTCAGAATGTGTTTGGCAGGCACAGAAGTGTGGGGCTGACATCAACACTACTAGACCAGTGTATCTTGAACTTTAGTCTATGACCTTCTGTGCCAGAATTCCCTTCAAGGGTGCTTTTTGGATTTCGAGATGTCACCTCAAAATCAACCAATCATAATTTAAAGGTGAGACTTAGCAGTCTACATCTTAAGAAAGCTTTAAGAGATTTTTTTTTTAAACCATTGAGTCTGCTTCGAAGATTTTAAGTAGAATATGATGGGAACTTACTTATTCTAGTTTGTAGACTGGAGAGTTCTGGTTTCTGGGATGTATAGAACAACTGGATTCAAGCCCAGAGAAGCCAAGTCCCTGGGCACACCCCACCGTACTGCAAAGTAACAGTTTGGTTTGGATTCCCTGCAATCTTTGTTAGCAGGGAGTGCATGTGGTGTGATGAAGGGAATCTTAGATTGTAGTCTGAGTAGCGAGATGGGTCTCGACCCTGTCACTGCTGGCTGCTTGCCCTTAGCTCTGTCTTCCCAGGACTCCCTCCTTTCCCACGAGAAGAGTGCAGAAGGAGAAGTGGCCTCTCTGAGACTCACAGCCAAGTCCCAGGTGAGTCTCCACGGGTTAAGAGTCAGCTCCATCTTGTGTCTCAGAGCACCGATGCACTCCCCTTTTGATGTGGGATTTCTTTGTCTACAGAGCCCATTTAGAGACCTGAGTTCTAATTCCAAGAGACTAATGGACTCAGTAGGAAACACTTTCTGCCTACACATAGGTACCTCTCTTCTCCATCTCCATTGTCTCTCTAAGGCAGGTGGGCCACATTTCTCCCCGCTTCCCCGCTATGCTAATTTCTGTATTTGGTCATGTGGAAAGCTATTTTAAGGGTACAGTACATACATTTCTCTATGGGAAACAGCACACCTGTGATGGTAAGGGGGAACTTAGGAAACATCTTAAAGGCGAAAGTGATTGGAATAATAATATGTACTTGGTTGAAACTGATAGTGAAAGAAGAAAGACTCTGAAGACTTCAAAGCTCAGGGATAGGAAGCGGTCCTCCCTGGGGATGAATCTGGAGCATTAGGGCTAGTTCCCTCCCGCTTTGAAGGAGTAAGTCTCCCATTTCCTATTATTATTTTGTCCCTCCCACAAAGAGCAAATGTGTCAAGGGAGAACTATGGGATACACAGTGGGTGGTGGTGACACTGATTACCGTGTTCCTTTTGCATTGTTCTGCAGCCCAGAGATTCCCGTCAGCATCCGCTGGATGTTAATGCTGTAGAAATGACTTGTGGCCCTTTTTGTACTTTTCTCGACGGCGCTGAGTCTCACAGACTTTACCAATCCAAGAGACTTCAGTGGAGGCTGACATCTTAAACTGGCTTGTGCAAAGAGAGGTCTTTATTGACCAACACAAGTTAAGGATTTAGGCCATAACACAGAGAGCCAACTTGTCCATTTTGTTAACCTTTTCCAAAACTCTACGAGGTTTGCTCTTAAACAGGCTTTTCTTCTGGTGCCCTCATCAAACAGGCGTAGGCTTGCATCTTCAAGGTTGAAGGCTAGCTGTTCCGCTAGTGCTGGGATGACTTCTAGCAGTGTATAAGGTCTTTCCTACACCATTGCTGGACTTGGCCAGAAGAAATTGTGGAGTATACCAGTGCATACATAAGTAGACACATTCCAGCCCTGACTCCAACAGATCGGTTCTACCCGCTCGCCACAGGGTTGAGTGGCTCAGCACGGAGACAGATAGGAAAAGAAGGGTGGACAGGTGGTACATTTCATTATCTTGATGCTAGATTAAAAACTGTTATATCATCATGGTGGATTGTCTTTTATGGATATTTTTAAAGTCTTTTTTTAATTTTACTAGATTTTATTTAGTGCTAATATTGGAACTTTTGTGTTCAGATTTGAGTTGGTTAAGTTTTTTAATCTTTTCTTACTAGGTTTAGAAAATATGTATATTAGTTTTAGCTTAATAAGCAGCACAGAATATAGAAATATATAGGTATGATAACTCTCCTCCCCAAATCAGCCCCTCACCTCTTTCTACAGAGAATCTCTGTGTGGTGTTTTTCTATATTTTGCTGAGTTTAGAGTACTGTCCAGAGGACTCGGGGTACACTGTATTTCCTCCATTTCCGTCCCTGTCTCCACCCGTGCGGTGTTGTGGTTAACCTACTCTGTAAATGGGATTTACAGCTCTTAACAATATTAATAGCTTTTAGCAAGATCCTTTTATAAGGAATTCTGCTCCCCCACAGTCAGCACGCAGTGCTGGTTCTTCTGCTGAGCTTTTCCTGTCTTACATATAACCATTTTCATTTTTGCTGTTGCTTTGTTTTGTTTTGTTTTGTTTTCCCATTGAACTGACGAGCGGTTAATTTCCACTGAGTGTTGAGCTCTGTGTACTTAGATTCTGGGATCAATGTCTACCGCCATACCACCCTGAACGCGCCCCATCTCGTCTGATCTCAGAAGCTAAGCAGGGTTGGGCCTGGTTAGTACTTGGATGGGAAGATTCTGGGATCAAGGTCACTTTTTTTATGAAGTCTTTTCTATTTTGTGGCTGTTTGGGGGGTTGGGTTTGCCTGTTATTTCCTTTTCAAACATGATTCCTTTATTTCTAAAATCTCGGATTATTTTTTGAAAACTTTACTTTGAGAAAAACCTAGACATAGAAAAGGTTACAAACAACAAGTAACATGGAAATCTCTCATCTCCGGTTCATCCAAGCTCCAGAAGTTAACATTTCACTCTGCATTGACCTCGTTTCTGGAATTGAGACATCAACGTTGCCCTTTCCCAGATTTCCCAGCTGTCTTATTTTTCTGTGTATAAAAGTTCTGCTTCTGTCTTTTGATTCTCTTCCTGAGTTTGTTCGTGTTCTCTATTATGATTTGCGTGCTCTTCTCATGTATTCATAGTTCAAAACCACAGGAAACGTGTTTAAGATCTAGGACATTTCAGGAGTGCTGTGCATCCCCAGAGTGTCTAGCCAGTTAGCATTGGACTTTGCATTTTGTTTCTTTATTTTTTAAGTTCCAGTAGAGTTTTACAATTTTCATCAGGCATAGCTTTATTCCTATTTGGGAATTTACTAAAATCTACTTTGTTGGTGTTTGCAAATGCTTCATGGATCTTTTAATAGAAGGTGCCTTATGTTCAACTAAGCATTTGTTACGCATTCGTTTCAGCAGACCTGGAATGTTGTTCCCATTCTCTGTGGCTTTGCTTCAAGGGGCACGCTCAATACCATGTAGCCGTCACTCTCCCTTTTTTTTTTTTTTGTAATGTCACTGAGATGTAATCTTATGACATTTTTATAACTACTTTTGAATTACATCTGTAACCTTAATCAGTTTATCACATTTCCTAATTGAATGTCCTTTATCTTGAATTAATTGCAAATTTAGCTGGATTTGCTGTTCCCTGCCAGTTTTGGTTTTTTTTTTTTTTTTTTTTTTAATTCTCTGACCTCTCTGTTTGCAACTTCTGTATTGTAATTCTTCGGAAGATTATGCCATGTTTTGTGTTTATTAAAGACATAGGGAAAGTGTGCAGATAATCCTTTTTTCCTCAGTGCTTATAGCCTATTTTTGACAGGAAAATGGTAGTCTCCCAGTGGTGCAACCAGTCTTGTTTCTGCTGAGTCTCACGGTGTGCCTGGTATTCAGTGAAAGTGCACAGACTGTTTAGGATCTAAGCACCCTTAGAAAGCCCCTCACTTGTCTCAATGAGTATATCTTGTCCGTCTGCACTCTGTCCATCAGGAACAGAATGAAAGGAAGGGGCTCTGTCTAGTCCGCGTTCTCTAGAAGAACAGAACTGATAGGGTGACTATATATAAATAAGGGGGATTTGTTAGCGCGGCTTACAGACTGGTCCAGCTAGTCCAACAATGGCTTCCTCCTGACAGAAAGTCCAAGAATCCAGTAGTTCTTCAGTCCGTGAGGGTTGACGTGTCAGCTGGTCTTCAGTAGATGTCAGGATCCCAAAGAAGTGGGCTCTACTGCCAGTGAAGGAGAGTCTCAGCAGCAGGCCGTAGAACTCGTCAGTGAGAATGAGGAGAAGCAGGCGAGAAGCAAAAGCTCCCCTCTCCCTTGTTCTTAGATCAGCTGCCACGAGAAAGCGTGGTCCAGATTTAGGGTGGATCTTCTGACCTGAAGAGATCTGGACTTAAGGTGGGGCTTCCTACATCACATGATCCAGTTAAGGAAGAATCCCTGGCAGGTGTGCCCAGCTGCTTGGGTTTATAGTTAACTCTAGATGTAGTCAAGCTGACAAGCAAGGAGAGCCATCACAGGTATCAACCGCAAGGTGATGAACAAAGTCTGTTTGTGTCTTAGGAAACCATGACATTCAAGGATGTGGCCATGGACTTTACACCAGAGGAGTGGGGGAAACTGGATCCTGCCCACAGGGACGTGATGCTGAAGAACTACAGGAACCTGGTCTCACTTTGTAAGAACAGCTTCTTCCCGTGGCTCTGAAAGCCGCTCATGGGGCTGACATGACATCGTGAAAACGAAATGCTTTTGTTAGCCTCCAGCTTTCATTTAAAAGTCATAAAGTATTTCTTTTTGGCATAGAGGAAGAACGTGTATTGTTTTGCTGGAGGCTGAGGATTGAATCTGAGCCTTGCGTAGGCTGAGCATGCACTGCCACTGAGCTCTGTCCCACCCCCTTCCTGTCCTAGGTCCTTGGTGAGACGTTTAGGCTTCTTATTTATCAAGATTCAGTGGCAGCCTAATGTACACTGGCTTTACTGGGAGGAACTTAGGGAAACAAAGGAGTCAGTGGAATTTGATTTGTTTGTTTGCTTAAAGTCAACTAGCTTGTCTTTGCCGTGGTATCTATTAATTTAGGATACCTCTATGTGGCCGAGATGGCATCAGCAGGTGCAGGGGTCAGGTTAGGTTATTCTTCCAGTTAGAGAACTGAGCAAAGATATACTTTTATTTTGAAAATCCAACTAACGGGCATATATCCATCAGATAAACAGCACAGGGCAAAGAGGCGGTGCTTGTGGCCCATTTTGAATTACAAGCTGTGCGGGCCAATGTCAAACCCTATGTACTAAATCAAAATTTTAGTAATTGAAAAAGAAAGAAAAAAACTATTAAAAGATAAAAACTCTAGTTCAACAGCCACAATTTTGGGGTGTCGCTAAAGTCCCATATTATACATATTCTTTTCTGAAGTGAAGATTAGTCTGCAGTGTTATCTGTGACCCCTACAAACAATAAGGAAATTGAGAGACTTTCTGTTCCTTTACCACAGACAAATTTGTTTTTATAAACGCCGTTTAACTTTGCACCAGCCTTAGACTCTTGCAGATATTCTAAGCCCCACTGAGAGGTCCTTCCTCCCTCACTCCAGATGTGGCGTCTTGTCCAGACGAAGGCATGGAACTGAATTCCAGCAGAGATCTTCGTACCCACCATATTTCATTCACTTCACTCTCTTCCTCTCCTCTTCTTTTTAATAAACAGGGCTTCCCGTTTCCAAGCCTGATAACTATAATTTGGATGATGGAAAAGAACTATTGAAGCTTGAGAAAAAACCTCCCAAAGGCAGTCACTCAGGTAGGTGAGCCCCACGGGGCGCTTCAGTCCCGCAGAAGAGCAATGGAATAGCACTTTGCTGAGCTTGAGAGTGAGTATTAGAGAGGCCTACGCACCTTGACTTTCAAATACTTTAAAGTTTGTAGCTTTTAAATATGTAAGTCAAAATAAAATAATACAGCCACCACCAAAATTAAAACTGTTTTCACTTTCCACTCCTTCTTTCCTTTTTATTGCAACAGTAAAATACATAAAAGCATTATAATGCTTATGTGAATTTTTACAAGTTGAACACATTCATGTAAGTGCTGCCTAGATCAAGAAAGCACTAATCTGAGAAGCGCCCTGTGCTCATTGTGCAGTCACCGCTCCCACAGGTAGCCTTATCCCCACGTGTAACACATAGTTAGTTTTGATTATTGTGGGACCTTATTTAAATGCAATCACTGTATATTCTTTTGAGATGGGCTTCCTTCTCTGAGCTTTCACAGTGAGATCCATCCATGTTGCTTAGCTTAGCTTGTTCTCAGTGCTGTGTATCCTTTTATTATTGCAGTATCCCAGTTTGCCCATTCTTCTAAAGACAGCTATTTGGATGGTGTGCAGTTTCGGTTGCATGAATACTGCTCCTGTATACATTCTTTCATATGTCTTTTTATGAACACATATATGTGTTTTGGGGTGTGTGTGTGTGTGTGTGTGTGTGTGCGTGTGTGTGTGTGTGATATAGATATTGCCAAAGAGGTTTTACAAAAATATTTCCAGTTATATTTCCATTGAGAGAAGTTACAACCTCTAGTTTTTCCATGCACTTCCAACACTTAATATTATCTGTATTTACTCTAGCCATTCCTATGGCTATGTGATGTCTTTTGCTTTTTAAGAAATAAAAATTTTAGAGATTCAGATAAAGTCCTCTCATTGTCTCATTTTCTAGAAGTAACCACTTTGTCTTGAAGTTGGCGTGATTCTTCTTGTATTTGCATGTACAGGCATATATATGCACACACGCATGAACGTTAAAATGTGTATATTTTTACAATTTTCCTTCTGTAACCTATTTGGAAGTTCCAGCATTTTATTTTGTTAACAATCTATATTAGTAGCCGGGCGGTGGTGGCGCACGCCTATAATCCCAGCACTCGGGAGGCAGAGTCAGGCGGATCTCTGTGAGTTCGAGGCCAGCCTGGTCTACAGAGTGAGTTCCAGGACAGGCTCCAAAACCACAGAGAAACCCTGTCTCGAAAAACAAAAAAACAAAAAAACAAAAAAAAAAAAAAACAATCTATATTAGTATGTCGTGAGTTGTATATATTTCTTTTAAATAGTTTGGCGTAGGTACGACGTGTGAATAAACTGGGCAGTTAGTTTCTCCCTTTGGCCCTTGCAGAGTTGCATGACCGTTATTCCTCGTGTTCCTCTTGAGAGCTGACGTTAAAGTAGATGATTGGAAGGAGATATGTGGGTCTTAGTGTCAGATGCTAGTTTTATTAGATTTGTTAAGGTCCTTCCCCATCTTATCCACAGTTGACTTAGTAGCTCTTGTCCATATATATATATATATATATATATATATATATATATATGTTGCCACTTCGTATTTTTTATTTGCATTTCTCTGAGGACTAAATATGAGCCTCATGAGCCTTTGAGATTCTTGCCTATTCAAGCTCCCTTCATTTGTTGCAGCTCTTTGTATATTTTAGATTCTAATATATGATAGCCAAAGTGTTACAAATGAGGAGGAATTGATTCTTCCACTTTGGGGCCTTCTTAATAAGCCCCAAATTTAGGATATTAAGCTTCTAAATTTTAAGGTCAGATTTACTGATTTCTATTGTTGCCTTGTGGAGGCGAGGCCAGCATCGTCTTAGGGGCTAGAACAATGGTTCCGCAGCTGAAGCAGGTTCTGCTCTTGTTGAGGACCTGGGCAGGATTCTCAGCACCCATCAAGCAGCTTGCAACTGCCTGTAACTCCAGCTCCAGGGGATCAAAAGCCTCTGGCCACTGTGGGCATCCAACTCACCCATACACGCCCACATATAAACACACATACATAATTAAAGATAATTTTTTAAGACATTTTTACTTTATGTGTATGAGTGTGGGCCTGGCTAGAGTGTTGGATCCCCTCGTACTAAAGCTATAGCATGTTAGGAGCCTCCTGTGGGTGTTGGGAACTGAACCTGGGTCTTCTACCACAGCAGCAAGTGCCCTTAACCACTGAGTTCTCTCCAGCCCCAGCATTTACTAATTTTTTGTTTTATAGACAGGGTTTCTATGTGTCATAGTTCTGGCTGTCTTAGAACTCACGTCGTAGACCAGGTTGGCCTTGGACTCACAGAGATCCGCCTACCTCTGCCTCCCTGAGTGCTGGGATTAAAGGCGTGCGCCACCACACCTGGCTAAGTTCTCACTAATTTTAAGTTTGCTTTTCGTGGCTTGTTTTGTCATACCAGTATCAGAAAGATGATTAGAATTTTATTACAAAATAATCAAGTTTTATTGTGCAGGTATTTATTTTTATAAATGATGTAAAGTGGATCTTTTTCATGCTCACAGCCTATAACCCAGCATCATTGATTGAGTAATCATTTATCAGGGATTTGTAATGCTACCTTTTGGTAAACCCGACTGCAGTCGGACGTTCCTTTGAGCCACCAGCTCACAAATAATGACATGGAGACTTATTATTAATTATGAAAGCTTGGCCTTGGCTTAGGCTTGTACCCAATTAATGCTTATGACTTAAATTAATCTGTTTTATTACTCGGCATTCTACCATGTGGCTCTGTTACTTCCCTGCTGTACCATACATCCAGCTTCTTCAGTGTCCTGCTGGCATCTCTTTCGTGCCGAGATTCATCCCAGCATTCCTCTCTCTCCCAGGAAATCCCACCTATTCTTTCGCCTAACTACTGGCCATTCCGCTCATTATTAAACCAATCACCGTGGCACATTGTTGGGAGCTCTGAACCCAACAATTCTGAATTTCTTGTAAACAACTTGTTTTTCGCTGATCTGAGTGCCTGCAGCTCCTCTGAGCATTAAACCCTCAGGAGTTCCTGATGGCAGGGGAATGGTTTCTGGTGCGTTTGGCTGGGGCGTGGCTATCCCTATATAAGCAGCCCCTGGACACAGTAAAGGGGGCATTCCTGTTTCAAGGATGACCCATATCCCCGTCTCCCTGTGTGTGTTTGTATGTCTCAAATCTCCAGCCCCTTGCCCGGTTCACTAACTGTATGGCGGCGCATTGAGCGCAGACAGGCCTCGTGTGCTACAACACACCTTCACACAGTGTAAAGGAATATTCTGCAACACCCAGTTCCCTTATATATGTTTGAATTTCTTTCTAGGCTCATTTGTCAGTGTGGTCGAGTACCACACTGTTCTAATCACTCTACTGAATAGTGTTTATGATAGCATAGTATTATACTATTATACTACATATCATTAAATGGATATATATTTAGCTATACATATCTTTGTATGTGTTTCCCTAGATGTTGTGATAGAAGGTATTCTATAACGTGGTTTTTACTCTCCATATCTAATGTACTCATTGCCTGCTCCTTACGGACACATTTTTTATTATTTTCCCTCTTATATTTCTGATCAACTTTCCCCCATCTGATTCTCATGGATAAAGTCTATTAATTTTCATATTTATTTCCTTCAGTTTCCTTCTTTTTCAAAAACCATTCAATAAGAGAGTCAGCTCTACTAATTCCACACAAGCATCCTTTCGTCTTCACTAATTCTTACCTGTTATAGAACTGTGTTTTTGTTAAGCCCAGAAAACACAGAACATTTGCATTTGCAATGTCTTTTCAGATGTGGAAATTAGACCTGAAAGCAAGGATTCAACTTCAGTGCAAGAGTTTTCCACAGAAGAATCAAGCCAGGTTACAAGAGCAGAAAAGCAGACAGGAAATCCCGTTTCTGACTGCACCTTGGAAACGGCTCATGATGGAGAACACTGGCTAGAGCGTCAGCAAGGGAGCCGGGAAAAGGACTTAGGACAAATGTTCACTCACCTGAACTCACTTCCTGTGGAGAAGCATCGTGAACAGGATATCTGTTGGGAAAATGGCAGTCGGAAGTCTCTCCTGATGACCGAGGAGGGAGTTCCCAAAGGGCCCTATGGCTTTCAGACACTTGGGAAAAGACTGGAGCAGAAATCAGGCTTAATGAAAAAGCAGAGAGCTCCTAAGGAGAAAAAGCCTCATAAGTGCGGTGACTGTGGTGAGCTCTTCACGTACCACTCCGTCCTCATTCGACACCAGCGCGTTCACACTGGGGAGAAACCCTACACCTGCGGTGAGTGTGCCAAGTCCTTTAGCCACAGAGCCAATCTAACTAAGCACCAGAGAACTCACACCAGAATTCTCTTCGAGTGCCGTGAATGCAAGAAAACCTTCCTGGAAAGCTCATCCCTCGCTGTCCATCAGCGAGTTCACGTTGGAGAGAGACCGTACGAGTGCAGCGAGTGCGGGAAAGGTTTTAACCGGAGCACACACCTCGCCCAGCATCAGCTGATTCACACTGGGGTGAAGCCCTATGAATGTAACGAATGCGATAAAGCTTTCATTCATTCGTCAGCACTCATCAAACATCAAAGAACTCATACTGGAGAGAAGCCCTATAAGTGTCAGGAGTGTGGGAAAGCCTTTAGTCATTGCTCCTCCCTTACGAAGCACCAGAGAGTTCACACCGGAGAAAAGCCCTACGAGTGTAGCGAGTGTGGGAAAACCTTCAGTCAGAGCACACACCTCGTTCAGCACCAGAGAATTCACACTGGGGAGAAGCCCTATGAATGTCATGAGTGTGGGAAAACCTTTAGCCGGAGCTCAAATTTTGCCAAGCATCAAAGAATTCATGTTGGAAAGAAGCCCTACAAGTGCGGAGAGTGCGGGAAAGCCTTCATTCATTCGTCGGCTCTTATTCAGCACCAGAGAACTCACACTGCAGAGAGACCTTTTAGATGTAACGAATGTGGGAAGAGCTTTAAGTGCGGTTCATCCCTCATCCGACATCAAAGGGTTCACACTGAAGAGCAACCCGGAAAACTTACTGACCGTTAAGAGATGTAAGCTGGCTTTATCACTGTGTTTAATATTTGAATATTTAAGTGGAAGGCCCATAATAGGACCCTTGGGAGCTTTTGTATATGTAATTTCACTCGTCCAGTGTATAAATTTGAACAACAGATAATGAAAACCTCTGGATCTAGGTCTCAAAATTTTTTATTCCCAGTTTTCCAAATACCCAATATTTTTAAAATTCTGGCTATAGATCTCAAATTTTTTATTTCCAAAATTTCAAATACCCTGTTCTTTTTTGATTCAAGAAATGTTTGGGAGACAGTAGTGATGTGGCTTTTAGTAAGAGCAGGGCCTGCTGGAGCCTTTCATTTTTTGTAGGTTAGGCTTGAGACTTAACAGCCTTATCCTTGGGAAGACACAGTCATTGCTCTGAACTCAGACACATGCTATTATTTTCTTAGAGAGTAATTTCTGTGTTAGAAAAGAAAGGTTGATAGGTGAAAGTTGCTTAGGATTCCACCCCTACAAAGTGCTGTCTAATCTGATGAACATAACTAACATGTATTTATAATCGGTTCTAAGTTAGGTTTACATGAAGAATATTGGTCATTGATTCTCATGAATCACACTGTTATCCCTTTGTTTTGAAGATTCATTTTCTAGTTCCCTTGGAGTTACCCTAAAGTACTTAATGGATCAGAGTCTTCACTTTTGTTTGCCAGGGTCCTCTCTGCCCATCTTGGCACTGATGGAGCACTCGGTCTTTATAATCAGATTATCAGGGAGAGTTCGTTCCTCTACATTATTTGACTTTCTGTGAACTATGCTCTGTCACTTTTAGAAAACTCCCTAAGTGTATTGTAATTTGAATATATCTGAAAAGTCGATAGGGGTCAATGCATTATTTTATTTGGGGTCCCAGTCAAAAAGAGAGCTGAAGGAACTATGAGGCACCATGGCATACTTTCCTGTCAAGTATGGGAAAAGCTCACAGAACAAGCCTGAAGTGTCTTACCTGAAGATAAACATCTTTCTTCCTTCCATTTATCTGGATTTCATGTTTTACTCACATTATTTTGTTATTCTTCCATACATTGGTTGGTCTTTATTCCTGATCTCTTAAGTAAACATGGCATGAAATAATATTGATCTGTTAGTGTGACAGAGATGGTCAAAAGCCAGTGAGAGGATGGGAAACAAACAAAAGCTCAAATAAGTGTTTAGTAAAACAATAACACAATGTCGGTTTTTCATTATTCTATTCTGTATTGCAAGTTATATAAGAAGAAAATATAAAAAAAAACTATAGGAAAAAAATAGTCACCGTTTTTTAGTGTCTCATCTCTTGGGTCCTACTCTTCCAGTTCATGCTCTTGCCTCCCCACTATGATGCATTTCACTACACTTTGCATATTATGACTAAGACAAGCTAGGGGCTACTTTAAAGAAGTGGTGTAGCGGAAAGAACTGTCTGATGGGTGAATGGAGTATAAATTCAGTAGTGACAGATATCACAAGAAGTTGGGGAAAGGGCTCTTTATAAAGACATTTTGGAATGAACAGAAACTCACTTGAGGAGGGTAAATTGGGTGGAAAGTCTTAGTGTCTGTCTTAGGGTTTCTACTGCCGTGATAAAACACCATGACCAAAAGCAACTTGGGGAGGAAAAGGTTTATTTGGCTTTCACTTCCACATCATAGTAGTATCATTGAAGGAAGTCAGGACAGGAACACAAAAACAGCAGGATCCTGGAGGCAGGAGCTGATGCAGTTGTCATGGAGGGGGATGCTTCCTGGCTTGTTCTCATGGCTTTGCTCAACCTGCTTTCTTATAGAACCCAGAACCTCCTGTCCAGGGATGGCACCACCCACAGAGAGCTGTGCCCTCCCCCATCAATCACTAATAAAGAAACTGTCTTACAGCTGGATCTTATGGAGGCATTTTCTCAGTTGAGGTTGCCTCCTTTCAGATGACCCTAACTTGTGTCAAGTTGACATAAAATCAGCCAGTGCAGGGTCTGACTAGTGAAATAAGACCAATGTGGGCTTTTCAAAGTTGAGTCTGATTTCTCCCATTCTCATTTAGCAAATATGTGATTATCTCAAAAGCCTATATTACGTAAATAATAAGATGACAGCACTTATAAAAGGCCTAGTACACACACATTAAGTAACTAGACAACCCCACCACCATGTCCTCCCACTTACTCATGTGTGCTAGCAAGCATTTTCATTCTTTATTTACATAAACACGACTTATTACATATTTTAAATACATGTTTTAATGAAGTGGCTGTGTATCAGTCAGAACGAATTGCTTAAGTACATCGCATCACTCTTGGTTCACTGACTTAGGTGTGTCCATACTGCTCTCTGGCCCATCTGAATGGTGCTTCAATAGCTCTGGCTTTGCTTCCATTGCTTCCATTCTTACAGAAACCACCTTCTTCCCTTTTGAATATCATTAAGCGGGCTCCATCTTATGGTTCCATGGGCTTGAATGTGCAGCTTAAATCACTCTTAGGGGGTTCCTTGGGGAACTCTGGTCCTTCGTATTTCACTGTTTGCCCCTTTTATGCCTTATATTCATTCTAATGACATATTTGTATTCTAATATGAATCCTGGAAGTTTTATTTATTTCATTTTCAATGTCTTGATACTTATAAACTGAATTTGACTGTTCTATTGGTCTGTCGATAAACATGCTGTTTGTATATGTATCATCAGAAGCTTGTATATGATATTTTAAAGTTTATTTTAAAATGTAAAGAAAGGCCAAACATAAACATTTCCATATCATTCAAGAAACCAGTTACATTTGCAATTGTTTATTTGACCTTCACAACTTCTGGAGGCATCAAGTCAGGATAGCCCTCAGGAAGCCATATGTCTGCGAGAAGATCATGGGGTAAGGGAAAGGAGTTTCTACCAAACAGCACTTGATTCCTCAGGCCAGATACAGTACCACTCGCTTAGCGTGAATAAGGAAAGGAGAGAGGAGTTTTCTGGGAACCATAGTTACAGTAGGCTTTACATGGTAAAAAACAGTTTAGGGGATCAGGCGATCAATGGCTGAGTCAGTAAGCCTGAGGACCTGACGTCAGGCCCAGCACTCAAACACGTAAAATGTCAAGTATGACAGTATACCCGTGTCACCCCAGTGCTGGGGAGACAGAGGTTGGATGGTTCCTGGGGGTTGTTGGCTAGCCAGCCTACCCAAATCAGTGAACTCCAGGTTCAGCAAGAGAAAGCCTATCTCAAAAAATAAGGTGGAGAATGACCGAGGAGGACACTTGGCATTGCTCTCTGGCCACAAGCACACATGGATATGTGCCCACGCATGTGCATGAACACACCCAAGGTTTAGTGTCATGGTTTTAATTACATCTAACTTGAGGAAGCTAATGTCACCAATTCAGAATATAAAACTTATTGCATAAAACTACCAGCTGTAACTGGAAGGCCAGGAAGGCTGAGTCTGATGAAGCAGGACTTGGCTGATACACTCTTTCTAGACAAATGGGTGGAAAGAGCTGCCGATACTGGAGAAAACCACAGGGATGACTTACAACCCAACATCTTCCAGCACTCTCTGTGCTATTCTTTTTAAGTTAAACATCAGCTGAAGAGAAGTGGGTATGCTTATGCCAAACTGTAAAAAAAAAAAAACTGTACAAATTTGTCAGGTAACTAGTGTAGTTATCAAGTCTTTCAGAGTTATTTTTTCATATGTATTTTTCACTTTTAACAAAACAGAAATTCTCAAGGTGGGAGCTCTATGTCCATGTTTTCTCATTTTCTCTTCTGTCTTAGACTCTATTGCTGTGATAAAACATGACCAAAAGCAACGTGGAGAAGAAAGGGTTTATTTCAGCCTTAGTGTACCAATCACACTCTATCACAAAGAGATATCAGATCAGGAACTCAGAGAAGGAACCTGAAGGCAGGAACTGATGCAGAGGCCACGGAGTAGTACAGCTTATGGGCTTCCTCCCCATGCTTTCTTTGCTCAGCCTTCTTTCTCATGCTGTTCAGGACCACCCACTCCGGTGCGACACCACTCCCTGTGGGGTGGGCCCAATAATCATTAATCAAGAAAATGTCCCACAGACCACTCTGGAGGCATTTTCTCAGTCGAGTTTCCCTCTTCCCAATGACACTAGCCTGCATCAAGTTGACATTAAAATTAGCCACAATACTTTTATTTAATTCCTTTAAGAATTCACCTGGATCATTTGGTGCCCAGAGCCACAGGAGCTACCCTTACCATAACTTTTATTGGCAAGATGTGGGGAGGGTCTATTCCCCTGTGGTCATTCATATATGTAACATGTGTTTATGGGCTTCTGTATAATTTGATTGCTGCTGTCAAGTAATTAGATATTTTCATCATATAATTGTCTTTATTCTGAGATAATCTGCCTTAAGATTATGCTGATTTATATCCATCCACTTGGGACTCAGCCTTTTGGTGTGGGTCCAGGATCCCCATAGTTTTTCCTTGCTGCCCCTTTCAGCTTTTCCTACAGGCCCATCGCCATTCCTATGTGACTGTCACTGAACTGCAGAATCACACTCTGCCAGGGACCCACAATTGCCTGGGACCCAGAGAGGTTACCCTTTATCATCCTTCCTCTTCTCCATTCTAGTCTCTCTGGACTTAGCGTTCTCCTTGCCTGCAGTCTGCCCACCTGGGCCCCTCTTCCTAGCTCCATCCCCTTGCAAGTGTGGTTCCATAAAGCAACATTACCCACAATATAAACAGACTAAAATACAAAATCACATGATCATCTCATTAGATGCAGAAACAACCTTGACAAAATCCAACATCCCGTCATGATTGAAAGTCCTGAAGAGACTGGGAATCCAAGGGATGTACTTCAATATAATAAAGTCAATTTACAGCAAGCTCAAAGCCAACGTCATCCTCAACAGAAATTCAAAAGATTTTCACTGAAATCAGGAACAAGACAAAGATGTCTGCTCTCTCCATACCTATTTAATATTACACTTGAAATCTTAGAGAAATAAGACAACCGAAAGAGATCAAGGGGATACAGATAGTAAAGGAATAAATCAAAGTGTTTATTTGCAGATGATACGGTTTTATACATTAAAGACTCCACCAGGAAACTTCTAAAGCAATAAACAGTTTCAGCAAAGTAGTAGGATACAAAATTAACCACAAAAATCAAGAGCCTTTGTAAATCCTATTTATAAATTACAAAGATACAGAAAAAGAAATTAGGAACATAATACCTTTCACAATAGCTTCAAAAAAAATCCTGGTATAACTCTAACCAAGCAAGTGAAAGACTTGTAATATATACTTTAACACATTGAAGAAACACATTGGAAAACACACTAGAGAACCGAAAGATCTCACGTTTCAGCGATCAGTAGGATTAAGAGTGTGAAAATGACCATCTACAGTTTCAATACACATCAAAATCCCAACACAATTCTTCACAGAAACTACAAAAATAATCTTTACCTGCATATTAGGAACACAAAAACCAGGTTATAGGGCTGGAGAGATGGCTCAACGATTAAGAGCACTGGCTGCTCTTCTAAAGGTCCTGAGTTCAATTCCCAACAACCACATGGTGGCTCACAACCCTCTGTAATGAGATTTGGCACCCTCTTCTGGCATGCGGGCATACATGGAGGCAGAATGTTGTATCCATAATAAATAAATCTTTAAAAAAAAAAACAGGTTATATTAAGCAATACTGAATAAGAACTGTTGATGATCTCACCATCCCTAATTTCAAGCTCTACTACAGGGCTATGCTAATAAAAACCACATGGATATTAGCATAAAGACAGATACGTTGATTGGTGGAATGGGATAGAAGATACAGATATTTCCATACACTTAAAGAAGCTTGATTTTGCCGGGTGGTGGTGGCGCATGCCTTTAATCCCAGCACTTGGGAGGCAGAGGCAGGCGGATCTCTGTGAGTTCGAGACCAGCCTGGTCTACAAGAGCTAGTTCCAGGACAGGCTCCAAAACCACAGAGAAACCCTGTCTCGGAAAAAAAAGAAGAAGAAGAAGCTTGATTTTTTTACAAAGAATCAAAAATACACAGTGGGGAAAAGGTAGCATCTTCAGAGAGTAGTGCTGATCAAAGAAGAATTTAAATAGATCTACATCTGTACTCTGCACAAAAGCAACTACTAATGTCTCAAGAGCCTCAACATAGTACCAAATACCCTGAATCTGGTAGGAGAGAAAGAGGGAATAGGCTTGAACTAACTGGCACAGCAGGAATTTCTGAACAAGATACTGATAATCACAGTCACTAACGGTTAATAAAATCTGGTAGGAGAGAAAGAGGGAATAGGCTTGAACTAACTGGCACAGCAGGAATTTCTGAACAAGATACTGATAATCACAGTCACTAACGGTTAATAAATGGGACCTCATAAAGCTAAAAACAAGTCTGTACAGCAAAGGATAAAATCATCTGAACAAAGAGGTAGTCTGCAGAATTGGAAAAACCTTACCAATTATACATCAGATATTTAGCATTGAGAATATATATTTTTTTAAAAAAATCAAGCAAATTTTAAAATGGGGTATAGAACTAAACAGTTGTCTAAAGATTGAAACATAAATGGCTGCGTGTGATAGTTTGGATAAGAATGGCCCACATAGGCTCTTATATTTGAATAGCTGGCCACCAGTTGTTGAAACTGGAAAGGATTAGGAGGTGGGGC